TGACTATCCATCCTCATTGGACGTGCCTTTAGAGAGAAATGCATCTTTACGGATTACATAATGAAAGAGGTTTTTTTTCGATTTGAATTATTTCGTTTTAAAGTAGTAATTTAAAGCTTTCTATATATTTTGATCATGTCTGAGTTTAGGTTAATCATTATGAAGCGCTCCTGTTCAAACCCGAGACGGCAGAAAGTGTTTGTTTTGTTTATTTTATAAAAGCAAATATTTGTTGATATTGTGAGTGCACACAAATGAAACTAGACCCTTTACAGTTTAGAATGATGTATTACTTTTACCTTTATGAGCAAAAATGACTGCGTATTTTAAGTTGTTTCCACTGTTAGAAAAATGCAAGTGATCGCACTGGCGCCTCCATGTCCTGCAGAGCGCACTTCAGCTTCCAGTCTCCACAAACGATTGGATATGCGTCTAACAGCGCACATTTATATAGGTTAAACATTTAAACTAACATTGTGATATACTTGAACTGTTTTATATATAGATTTTATTTTAGGCAAGTCCTGATGATTTGAGAAGGCTAAATTGATCAAACATAGGCTATAGGCTATGATCAATTCACTGTCTGCCGCTGGCCTTTACTTAAAAAAACAAAATAATTTACATTTAACGAACAAAAAATACTCCAAATGTTTTTCTAAATTTACTTTATAAAAAAACGAAACGAAATATAATCACTTTTCCATTACATACAAAACTGAACTATTTTAATAGCTGAAACAGTAGTATAAGCTTTTTTTTAGGAAAAGGGGAAAAAAGATGGGCTAGGGTCTATATTTGAGGCACGTGCAGGGCTTTAATCCACTTCATCCAACGCTGTTTTGTTCTCATCTGTGAGCATGCTCTTGATATATGTATTTTAGGTGTGTAAATGTATAATTGCCTTTTCATTATTTTTTTCAGTTTTATTTAAATTTGTAGTTAAAACAACTAAAAATAAATGTATTTTAAAGTTTAGAATTAGACAGCACACAGGCTTCCGCTGATAACAACAAAATGGAACCTCAAGGTTGATCTAGGAAAATGTGTGCAAATGTATAGGGCCTCATTCCTATATTTTGCCTGGGGCCCCCAATTCACTAAATCCACCCCTGCTATTCGGATATATAGAAATTAAAGACTAAGTTTGCTAATTAGCCATTGGAGTACACCAAACGGAAGCAGCTGAATATCTCCTGGTTTATTTGCACCAGCAGCCGTGTTTTTGTGCCACTTTTTGCTTCACATTTTCAGATAATATCTAAAAATTGAAGCTTGCAAATGAGCAGTGCAGACGAAGCTGCAAATAAAACAATTGTGGAGGTCATTTAATGAGGAGAACATGAACAAAGTGATGAAAGATGAAAGGTTACAGATAAAAGAAAGGAAAAAAAGCTAAATTAAAATACAGAAGTGAATGAATTGAGCGTTCAGGATGAGCAGCTGTTACATAATGCTCTTTTCAGTTTTAAGAAATATTTTTAATGGAGTAAAAATAATTTCTTTCTCTCCCTCTTAGCATGCATCATTTCAAATCCCCTGGCTTAGTAAATAATGTGTACTGTAGGAAATATGCTTACAGTAAAGGATTAAAGTCTTATACCTGCAGGCTTTGAAGTTTGTTACCTGAGGAAATAATTGGCTGTCTCTGTATCACCTTGTGTTAGCAGTGTGACTGGAGGCTCTCACTATTCTCTACATTATTTATACAGCCTTCTCTGGCAATGACCCTTCCATCTAAAATGCCTTACTTTACAATTCAATTAGCACAATGGCACTCATAAGATTTATGAAATTTCCTGCTTGTCAGTTTCAGAAATTGCAAAGTGTATTATTCCATCCAGCCATCAATCCCTGTTATACCTGCTCATTTTTGTTAGCGCTGATCATTTTCATGAGGCTTAATATCCACATTGTACTAGCTGGACAAATAAAGGGGATATGTTTCTAATAAGTTTTTCTTTGTCATGTTTGTGTATGTTTAGGAGACTCTAATGAGAATAAGCCAGAGGAAGAGGAAGTAGCTAAAATGGGATGTCCTAGTCTGGGAGAACATACCAGATTGGATGTGGTGATTGAAGAGTCTTACGAATTTAAGGTAACACTGCCTCTAAAACCTTTAAGTGATGCAATAATGAAACAAAATGAATTTCAAATCTTTTTTAGTAATGCATACTGATTAATGTGTAATATTTAAGCAGTATCACCACAGTCATGCTAATATATCAGTTTTATTGTGAGTGTATGTAACAGTTCAATAAATATAATATGTAAATAGAAATATTTTCACCAACAAAAATAGTTCCAAGCAAAGCCAAAGCATCCAGCTGTGCAACACACAGACTGAAAGCTGGTCTGGAACAGTTCTTGATACGTGGCTGCAACTGTGTGTGTGTGTGTGTGTGTGTGTGTGTGTGTGTATTTAAGGTAACACTGCCTCTAAAACCTTTAAGTGATGCAATAATGAAACAAAATGAATTTCAAATCTTTTTTAGTAATGCATACTGATTAATGTGTAATATTTAAGCAGTATCACCACAGTCATGCTAATATATCAGTTTTATTGTGAGTGTATGTAACAGTTCAATAAATATAATATGTAAATAGAAATATTTTCACCAACAAAAATAGTTCCAAGCAAAGCCAAAGCATCCAGCTGTGCAACACACAGACTGAAAGCTGGTCTGGAACAGTTCTTGATACGTGGCTGCAACTGTGTGTGTGTGTGTGTGTGTGTGTGTGTGTGTGTAGAGTACAGTGGATAAGCTCATTAAGAAGACTAACCTGGCTCTGGTAGTCGGCAGCAGTAGCTGGAGAGAGCAGTTTGTTAGTGCTGTGACTGTGAGTGCAGGTATGATACTTCCTGTTTGTTCACCCTTTACAGTTTGTACATGGGCATTATCATTCATCATTGAGACGCTTGTACAACTGTGAATATGTATTAATGCCTTTTCAACTTATGAAAAAATAGGTTCTTGATTTATACATCTACTGTGTATGGTTAGCAATATAAACTAACGTTCAAAAGTTTGGGGTCAGTATGATCGTTTTTTGTTTTTGTTTTTGTTTTCGAAAGAGAAATTAATACTTTTATTCAGCAAGGACACATGATCAAATTGATCAAAAGTTATATTTATAATGTTACAAAATATTTATATTTCAAATAAATTCTGTTCTTTTGAACTTTTTATTCTTCAGAGAATGCTGAAAAATATCACGTTTTCCCACCAATATATTAAGCAGGACGACTATTTTCAAAATTGGTAATAATAAGAAATGTTTTTTTGTGCATCAAATCAGCATATGAAAATTATTTCTAAAGTATTCATGGCTGCTGAATTCAGCTTTGCCATCACAGGGATAAATTCCATTTTAAATTAAAACTAAAAAACAATTTTAAAATATTACAGTTCATACTGTATTTTTGATAAAATAATTCAGCATTGGTGATCAAAAGACACTTCCTTCAAAACATTAAAAAATCCAACTGAACCCTAAAGTTTTGAATGGTAGACTATATTGTGCTGTATCTGTTTGAATCTCTATGAAAATATCAAGCGTATTTACCTTAATGTTCTTTTATGAGTCAAAGGGTGTTTTTGCACAGCTGAGTTAAGACTGCTTTGTTCCTGCTCAAAATTTAGTGTACAGGTGCAATGCCGCATAAAAGCCAGACTACTGCTCAGACCCACCTCAGCCCCTTGTATCAAAGCATACAGTTGTAATTACTGTGGAAATGCATTTATGCCACCTCTGAGTGGCATTAAACAGTCTGTGTAAAGACACCTAAATCACTTCAGAAGCGCTTCTGTGCCACCTTTGTAGTATGAATTAGACTAAATTCTCAACCGGCTTTGAACTCTCTCAGACCATCTAACATATATTGCTCATCTCAGGTGACGATGATGAGGAGGAGAGTGGTGAAGAGCGTCTTCCATCCTGCTTTGATTACATCATGCACTTCCTCACAGTCTTCTGGAAGGTTCTCTTTGCCTTCGTCCCACCCACAGAGTACTGGAATGGATGGGCATGCTTCATTGTGTCCATCTGTCTGATTGGTGTCTTGACGGCGGTCACGGGCGATCTTGCCTCCCACTTTGGGTGCACTATTGGCCTGAAGGATTCCGTCACCGCCGTGGTCTTTGTTGCCCTGGGGACATCTATCCCAGGTTAGTCAAGTCAAGTAATCTTTATTTACAGTATATATCGCTTTATACAATACAGATTGTTTCAAAACTGCCTTGTGGTGATAAACAAGAAAATAATGATTCAATGATGCAAACAAAATTCAATTCTGCTGTAAAACAGCTCTAAAAAGACAGTAGTAAACAGTCTTTATTCAGCTGAAATTAGTTCAGTGTTGATTCAGTTCAGTTCAGTGTCCAAGAAAAATGTGCCCAAATTCAATTGCTTGTTACCAAGTTTCAAATAATACAAAGAAATGGCATCTGGCTTCGACATACAAATCCAAGCTGCAGTATGTGTTTGGTTGAGTGGTATTGACTTGTTGCTATGTGGGTTCTAGGATGTTCGGGGTCACTGAGCCCATCTCATATCTCTATAATTTAGAGAGCACCACTAATAAGAATAGTAATAGTATGTATTGCTTCTTAAAATGTCTAATAATAAAGTCATAATTCAGGAGCTCCATCACCAGTGTTGTTATTGTTAAAAAATGTTTTGGATAATTGAAATAAAATATAAATATTATATGGAAAAACTTAATATAAACCTAAACAAAAAAAAAAGCTCCCTTAGTTGGTAACTAAATTAAATAAATAAGGTTAAAGGGATAGTTCACCCAAAAATGAAACTTCTGTCATTAATTACTCACCCTAATGTTGTTCCAAACTTGTAAGACCTTCATTCATATTTGGTACACAAACATTCCAGGCCCAGCAACTTAGCAAGGACATCGTTAAAATAGTCTATGTGACATCAGTGGTTCAACCTTAATTTTATGAAGCTATGAGAATACTTTTTGTGCGCAAAGTGCACATGCGTCGTGGTACTCTCGTGAATGTGTGTCGAAGACTGACACAGAAGAGAAGAACTGTTGAATAAAGTCGTTATTTTTGTTTACTTTGCACATAGTAGTTGCATTGCTGTCTATACAGGGTCAGAAAGCTCTCGGATTTCAACAAAATATCTTCATTTGTGTTCCGAAGATGAACGAAGGTTTTATGGGTGAGTAATTAATGACAGAATTTCCTTTTTTGGGTGAACTAACCCTTTAACTTGAAATACTAAAATGACTAAAACTAAAATCAATGAAAATAAAGTTAAATAGAAAAATTGATAAACACAAAGTAAAACTGACAAATAATAAAATAAGAATCAAATTACTAAATCTTAAAGAGCAGGTCATATGGGTTTTTGAAAAATATATATTTTTTGCAGTTTGTATCGTAGCTATCCTTCAATGTAAACAGTCTGCAAAGTTGTTAATCAAAAAAGTGCATGATAAATAAAGATATTGTCTCTCAAAAGAAAGTCGACTCTGAACCGCCTTAACGAGTCGTCATATTTTCGAATCTTCTGCCTGTTACCTATATACGTCACAAGGTAACACATTTGCATAATCCCCGCCTGTCCGTGAAATACGAACACTCTCACCTGCCCACAAACACTTCCGCTAGTTACTTAGTGTGTTTACATCATGTCGAGAAGACGCTGTGTTTTCAGCCTCACTGGACATTCTAACACAGTTCCCACACGTGCATCTCAAATAAGTAAATAATAATAATAATAATAATAATGAATGCAATAAAACTGCTGTCACATCACGTAAAGTACCACATACAAAGTTTAAACTTACCACCGAGAAACATCCTGCTCAAGTCGTGCTTGCGATGGAGTTTCCGGTTGAGCGACTGCATCGATATCATCCTTGGACTCGGGCTCGAATTGATAAGGTAATATTGATGCCATTTTTGTAACCTTATAGCATCTAACCCTTCGGAGCAAAAGATAAGTTATGGTAATGGGCATTTCGTTTCCGACATGCATTGTATATGGAAAGACCAATCACAACAGACTTGGCCAGCTGACCAATCAGAGCAGAGTACTGTAGGCTTATGGAAGGGAGGGGTTTACAGACCTTAAGCTCAGAACTACTTTGAACGAATCGTTTCGAAATCATTGAAAAATTATTCTAATATTAAATGTATATTCTGAGAAAATTACAATGTTTTCTGAGCTTAGATGCATTTAAACCTGTTGTAGGGGACTCCCAACACAATATTAGGACACTTTAAAATACCATATGACCTGCTCTTTAAAATTAAAACTGAAAATATAAAAATTAAAGCTAATTCAAAATATTACTATAATAGTACATAAATAATACTGAAATAATCTACGTACTGTACATGCCATGCCTGTATAACCTAGCAGACACTTTAGACATCATAGAGCAGGTGAATGAATTTGGCCATGTATGTTTTAGTGCGGCTGGTTATTAGAGCAGAAGGGCATTGATGTGTGGCTTATCTCATCTTCAGGTCATGTGTTTGCAGCTGGTGTATATGTGTTTGTATGTGTCTGTTTTTCCCCTTTGATTCTGTTCAGTGCACTCACCTGAACCCCTTCTCTTTTCTCTCTTCCTCCTTTTTCTTTCTCTTCCTTTTCTCTCAGTTCCTCTTTTGCTTTTGTCTTTTGCTTACCCCTTTCCCTTTTGTTGACCTCCTTTCTGATACTTCCCACTTCTATTACAGTCAAAACCCACTCTGTTTTCTTTCATACAATAACAAGAAGGGTTCCCACACTTTCATGAACACCAGATTCAAGGACTTTCAAGGACTTTTTAAAGCACCATTTATTTTATATCAAGCACCTATCAAATTCACACCCCAGCATTTGTAGCGTCATGAAAGACCTCTTACCACTTAATATTAATATTTACATGAAAAATTTCAGAGTAATAATGATGTTTTGAATGTGTAGGTTTCATAAATTTAGACTGTTTTGAGCAGTCATGTTAAAAGGAATTTAGTTGGATAGTTTTAAATTAGCCCATTATTTACTCACCTTCAAGCCATCCTAGCCGTATATGACTGTAGCGAATCGATGCGTTTTTGTAAGAAAAATATCCATATTCGAAGCGTAATAATCACTTTAATCTAGCCTGCGGCAACAGTTGTACACGGAAGCAGCTCCGGGAGGATGACGTAAGATGTCGGCGTTGCGCATGCGCCGGTGAGTCTCGTGAAAACCAACATTTGTTTACAGGATCAAAGGAAGCAAAGTTTCCTTACTTTAGCAAAGGAAAACCAGTCTCCTCTTGGCTTATATCGAAATCCTCCGACATTCTTCTTTACAAGTCCTCGTTTTGTACTTCTAATTAGTGACTGTTGTTTTGTTTTTATCTCTCTTCTGCACTTCTGAGCGGCGCATGCGCAACGCCGACCTCATACGTCATCCGCCTGGAGCAGCTTCGGTGTACAACAGTGAGCGCAAGCTAGATTAAATAGATTATTCGACTGGATTCGTCTGAAAGAAGAAAGTCATATACACCTAGGATGACTTGAGGGTAAGTAATTGATGGGCTAATTTTCATTTTTGGGTGAGCTAACCCTTTAATGAAATCCGTTGAAGTCAATACTGGTAATATTATACAATTTCTCAATTATTGATAAAAATATATTTATTTTATATCAAGCACCTATCAAATTCACACCCCAGCATATGTAGAGTCATGATAGACCAGTTACATTTACATTAAAAATTTAAGAGTAAAATTTAAGAGTAATAATAATGTTTTGAATGTGTAGCATAAACATAAATTCATACCGTTTTGAGCAGTCGTGTTCAAAGGAATTTAATGAAATCCATTGAAGTCAATACTGGTAATATTCAAATACAATTTCTCAATTATTGATAAAAATATATTTTCTTGCATCAAACTGGTTTTTGATGTAGTTCTTGAACAATATTTAAATCTGAAAGAATTTCTCAATTTTTTAATTTTAATAACACGATAAAACCTGTTAACATTAAAATTTTGCACATTCACTCAATAGAGACGTTACTCATTAATAAATAAACTTAAGTCAAAATTATTTTGTAAATCACTTTTTATTGTTAATCCCATTTTTTCATCTTTGACCTAGAGGAATGCAGCTGCTCAAAACTTCTACATTTTTCGGGCGATCAAAAAAATGTAGCGCGGGTCCAGCAGTCCCGCGATTTGGCGCATACAAGAATGATGGAGATACATGAACATGAATTTACATGGTGTTTGGTTGTACACTGATTACATTACTTGCCTAGAGGGCAAGTATCTACCAAGGGCACCGTATCGACTGTCATTTTGCTTTTTTTATAGAAATTTAAATAATTTAGTTCAGCTGGAAAACGTATGCTATACACTAAACTGAAAGCATCTGCTCTGCACCAGAATTGCCAGGTCTGCATGACAAAACTAAACCATGCCAGTCAAAAACAGCCCAAAACAGCACAGTGACCATATCCCAAATATCAAAACTCAAAATATGTCATTTCCATACCTAAAATACATATTTTACGGTCACTTATGTACACTGATCATAAAAACAGCTCAAATCCTTCTTACCAGTGGCCCTCCTTCAAAAAACTTCACATCGAACACAGTTTTATCATAAAGTAGAATGCAAAATGTTTCAATACAAGCATTTCAGTCAAAAGTAATGTATGCAGTATTTCAAACCTTTAACCCACAGGAAAATAAACCCATGGCAACAGTTTAAAAGCAGTCCAATTCCATGGAAAACACAAGGACTTGACAACCCTGCATCCATACACGCGCTGCAGGAGTCAGATTTGACTGATCACGGGTTGAGAGAGATGACTGACAATGGTGGAGGATTTGCTGCTCAACAGATCCTGAGCTCATTGACAAATATCTGATCTTGTATGTGCTTCCTTTACACAGAGTGCGATCGATCGCGAAATCGAAAGTGAACGTGAACAGCGAGCACTCATTCAAATGCGATTTCAATACCCCGCATATTGATAGCGGCTCTCTGATGTGTGGAAATTATATAAAATATTAGAATGTTTGCGGGAGCGAGCGGGAGGTAAGAATTTCAGTGGGAGCGGGCAAAAAAAAAAAACTGTCCCGCAAAGGGCTCTAGGCTGTGCATTAATACACATGCTCTTTTTTTTTGCGCTACCCCATCTCCACCCCCAAACATTAGCGCTGTTTCGTTCTGTCTTTGACAGCACATATAGGACCATTTTTGAAATAGCACCATAAACAAAATATTTCAAATTTAATTCAAGCACTTTCAAGGACCTATGTTTGTTTTCAAGTACTTTCCAGGCCTTGAATCCATATGTCTGAAATTCAAGTACATTCAAATACTTTCAAGAAGCGTGGGAACCATGAACAAGATTTTGCTGTTTAAATCATAATTATATTAGTTTGATCATAATTTTATTTTGTCTCTTTTACACAGACACTTTTGCCAGTAAGGTCGCTGCCATCCAAGACCAGTATGCAGACGCATCCATTGGTAACGTGACGGGCAGCAATGCTGTCAATGTTTTCCTGGGCATCGGTGTGGCGTGGACCATAGCTGCTGTATACTGGCGTACCAAGGGCAAACCTTTCCACGTTGATCCAGGTTCTCTGGCCTTCTCTGTCACACTCTTCACTGCTTTGGCTGTGGTGTGTGTCAGCGTGCTGTTGTATCGCCGGCGCCCCTCAGTGGCTGGAGGAGAGCTTGGCGGTCCACGGACTTGCAAGATATTGACGTCCTTATTTTTCATCTCCCTCTGGCTGATCTACATCCTGTTGGCCTCACTGGAAGCGTACTGCCACATCACTGGATTCTGAGGCAGCGAGGCCTCATATTCTTTCAGCTTAAAGAGGAATATAAAAAATGGCCAGTGAAGGAGCATTTGTTTTGTATTAATTAGATATTTATATTTAACTTTTAAAAGGTCTTATAAGTCCGTTTTTGTAATTTTTCATTTTCTTCCATAAAGGGATAGTTCACACAAAAATAAAAATGATGTCATCATTCACAGCTTTTATGTTGTCCCATAGAACACAAAAAGTTTTTTTTTTTAAGAAGTTTACTTTTTGAAAACTACATGAAGGTGAGTAAATGATCACAGATTTTTATTTTTTGTATGAACTGTCCCTTTAAATTAGTTAATGCAGTATCTTACACATCATTCCTTGTTCCCTTGCCTTAGACTTGTATCCATCTCTTAGTGCTGTCTTAAATCTATCCAAACCAGTAACCAATGACTCGTTTTTTTTTTTACTCCTGTTTGAGCCAATCCGAGCCTTCGGTTACTGAATGAAGGGGTTTCTTTTTTTGAACTCTTTTTTTTTTTTATGTTAAGTGTCAGTATTATTCTCATGTAACTGTAATGATGTTTTAAAAGATATTTAAATGAACAGAATGACCAAACATGAACTTTCTATTATTAAGAGCAGACTGAACAAATAGGATGGACTTACTATTGCTTGTGTAAGAAGAAAAGCATGTCTCAGGACTATATAATAATCGGACAGATGGTCTGAAAAGCATCTCAAGTTCATAATTAATCATATATCATGAATGAATGGTGACATTATTGGGAAGTCAAATAGCAAAAAGGAATAAAATGGAAAATGGACTGAAATAATCCCATAGAGGATGGAAGAACAATCAGAAAATAATGACAGTGATGGTGCTGCATATCATTAAGAATAATTCTAATTTAAATGTATAAAATGACTGTGTGAGAGAGAAACCACTCAACCAAGAATAAACAGCTCAACTGATGTTCTTTTGAAATAACAAACCATGTAATTGATACAATTAGCTGTCTGTATCTATCTGTATTTCTCTTGTCTCTTGACGGTCACACTCCTTGACATCAAATGTTCAATAGGAGATACTAGCCTGTTAATATGATGTGACATTTGACATGGTGGCAAATGCTCTTACTGACTGTGTACCAAACTGTATCTGTTAGTTCACCCAAAAGTTGCAATTCTGACAGGATTTATTTACTCTCATATGATTCCAAACCCATATGACCTGTGGAACATAAAATCAAGCTGTTTAGCAGAATGTTTGTGCTGCTCTTTCCCATACAAGAAAAACAGAAAGTGACCACCCTTACGAAAAAATAAGTATACTTCAAGTTAATTTTAAGTAAATAATTATATTTTCCAGGTATACCTCATGCAGTAAGTATACTAAAATCGATGGACTTGTACACTGCCTGTAGTAGTATACTTGTAAGTGTACTAAATTTAGACACTTTAGTTTATAAAAGTACTTTTAAGTGTACTTTAAGTGTAACAATAGTAAACTGAGTGTTATTTTACATATAAGTTTTTGTATTACAACAATAATGTGAACTCAAGTGATCTTACAGTTACAGGTATACTTTTAGTTTACTACTTATATAGGTCTAGCCCACTTTTATGACATGAGGGTGCACAAGAACTGAAACAAACACAAGTACTTTTATTTATCAGTGTTGGCTGTATTATCATGTTTGTTGCAGTGAATTTTTAGTTGTCACTGTTTTGGTGTTCACTGTCTATCTGTTTCTGACTGCTGTGCAAATTATTCTGTGAGACATTCAGGAAGACAGTGGGAGGGTGGGAGGCATCGACTCTGGCACATTTGATGGAGAGCACAGCAAAAGAGTGAATGAGACAGATTTAGCAGTAGCATAGATATTTAGCCCTCAGAAGTAGCTTCTCTCCTCAGTCTAGTTCAGTATTCGGGGTGAGAGAATGTGCACCCAGAGTATTTTTAGTATTATCTTGTTGCTAGGAGACCCGCCCAGAGAGTCATTGTCTTGTCTGGGCCCAGTGACGGGTGCTTTTTTTTTGTGTGTGTGTGTGGGGGGGGGGGTGAACTGAAAAGATGAGTTGAACAGAAAAGATAAAGTGGTTACGGAAAGGTAATCCCATTGATATCAGTTATGGTCATGTAATTGAGTTGATTGAATTGATGATCATTAACAATCATGTCAGCTCATGCTGTCACAAGAATCAACTATCATCAGCAGTGAATCCCACATCAGACTGACATACAGCAGAACTGTGTGCACGTGATCGCTTTATAGGGTCACCGTTTTCTCTCTCTGCCAGGCTGCTCTTGAAGCACAATAAATTAAAGTGAAATCCCAAATGTCACACTGAAAAACAGCTATCGTAATTGGAATAAGCGACCTGGCCTCAGAAAAAGAGAGAGAGGGCTGGGGAATGTAAACACTTCCCCATCTACACAGTTATACACATAGGCCTACCTGATGTAATTGCATGTAAAGGTTATTGTGTGTTTATAGTATTTTAATACTGCAAGAGAGACTGTGTATTTGTGTTATATCTGCTGGCCTCTTAATCAGTTTTGTGATCCAGTTGTTTTAGTGCATGTCTAAGTAACATGTGCGGAACAGGCTATTGATACAGTACTGTATATACAGTATCTGACCATTTAAATTACATGTAGGAATGTCATTACATTAAATAAAATATCAAACCAAATGAAGTGCCCAGAATGATGCTAGAGCTTATAAATCTTTTTAGCAATCACATTAACCATAAACATGTTTCATAAATATTTTTTGCACAGTATATCTTTTAATAAATAAAGCTAGTAGACTTCTTTTTGTTTTGTTTGAAAAATATGCTTGTGCTATCTTTCATTAAAGTAGGCATGAAGTGAATATTTAACATTTATTCTCTAAAAGCTTGTTATTGATCTTATATTGAATGATTCATCCATGCATAAGTTTCATTTTTTTATTTAAAAAAATGATGACCTCGTAATTTTTAGCTGGCTTTCACATCTGCCTTCATCCAATCAACAACCGATGGATAGAAACAAGTCCCCACCCTACATTTTTCCTTTTTCAATAATCCATTTGACTACCTCACAAAACAGAAAAAGTCAATTTTTTGACACTTTTTATATTTGTTATTCTTCACAAGTGGCCCAAGTATCCAAATGCTTTTCTTCACCTACAGATATATGCAGACAAGTTATGGTTCCTGTCACTAACCAATCCTGCATACTGCTCTTGTGTTATAGAAGAAAAAAACAGATCATGATAAATGATCATTCTTGAGCATGTACTGTATGTGTGATTGTACTTGTGTTCATAGTGCTAGTATAGCTTTGACTTTGTGACTTGTCTAAAGACGATACACTAATAGAAGAGGTTAAGGATAAGCTAACAGTTCATATGAAGTGCTCTGAGGAAGCAGTCACCATGTCATCCTGTATCAGTGTTCATCTGGTCCTTGTGTGAAGCATTTCTCTGATCTTTCTGTTCATTAGTCTTATGATTATTCCTTCATTAACGGTTTGATTCATTTCATTGTTCATTTTTCAGTGTTTTTCATAATGAGTGAATCACCAAGTGCTTTTCTTTTCCTTTTATATAGCAGATTTTATATTTTAATTTCTCACCATGTCTCTTGGTTTGATGCATGAAACATTCTCTTACCCTTGTTAAATGTTTTAGAAGGTATTGTCCTGAAATCTTTTTTTTAATGTCTTTTATTTTAAAAAAATATGAATTAGAATTTCATATTAAATGGCTTATATCTTTTTAAGGAATGGGTGACTTTTATGTGTGCATAAAACAAAAAAAACATTGTTAGCGACTGCTATGAATGAGTCACTGAATCATTCACTCAAACAATTTACTAACACTGATTCAAATGAAACACTGTTAATGTGTGTTTCTCGCAGACACTGGTGAAGAAACAGACAACTGCTTACACACGAAATCTTTACTTGTCACACAATTTCTGAAACCTGACACTCGAACACCAGAAACACACACCAAATCTGCAAAACCATACACTCATTCTCGGCCTTTGTCTCAGTTTTCAATTTCATACAACACTTTTTGCAAAACACAACACACAATTCTCTATGTAACACACAAAAATCTAACAGGAAGTATCTTGATTTCCTTTTTCAAACACAACCAATCAAAATGCCACACTAACTCCTCACATGTGCAAACACTCATTGCTTTACTTGACACCAAGCAATCATGGCTTTAGAATAGGTCTATAAATACACATATTGGTGGATGGATTTCTTTTCTTTTGTACTGTGTAATACTGTATTCACAACCACAAATGCTTACAGTAATAAAAAAGTTTGGTTTCAATCTTGCTTTTGTGTTTACCGTAAATTTTTCAACATCTCTCTGCCAATTACTTTCAATCTTGAACAGAAATGTACATAGGAGCTCATGAAAGAAGAGCTTTAGGTTTTAAATAACTGTATATGATATATCCAAAAATATAATACAGTTTTTCTGAATTGCTAAAACATTTCTTTAAACCATCACTCATTTTCTCAAAACCTTAAACACAAATCCAAATACTCAAACAAGTATAGTAATTGCAACTGAGTAAGGTGAATATATTGTATAGGCCTACTGTACTGCAAGAATAGTATTGTGCTGAATATTGAATAGTACTTAATGTTTGCACTTGGATACTGCAAAGATACTGCAGTTCAACTGCAAAGGCCAAAAAGGTCAAATAAAACTGTAAATGAATAGCATGTTACAGTACACTCAAATACTGTAAGTTGTGCAATTGCAAAACCAGGGTCAATGAGAGCTTCATTCTGTCTCAGCGTCATGTCTTTGATCCATCTATTGTTCGTATCATCATTCAGTCACCTGTGCCGCTTGTGCACTCTGAACTGGCTCATATTTTGTACAGTTGGCTTGATCACATCATTAGTAACAAGTGTGAACAATTTTGAATCATTGTGTTTAAACGATGACAACTGTGATTTAGTTGTGTTTAGCATTTTGCAGCACAAATGCATCACAGTGTGATAAGTGTTTGTGAATGTGTTTAGAGTTTTGCAAAAAAGAGTGCATGAGATTTGCAAATAGCGTCTAACTGCCTGAACGTGTTTAAGGTTTAGCAGAAAGTGTGCTTTATTCGACGAATTGGTTTAAGCTAGTGAGAATTTGGTTCAGAGATTGGGGTTTAGTGTTTTAGCAATTCAGAAAAACTGTATTATGGCAAAGGTGTTTGCAACGTAAGACAAATGTTTGCTTTTGTGATATTTTGAATGCAGTGCTTAATTTTTTTTATTTGCGATTTGAGGCATTTTGCATTTTGTGTGTGCAATTCTTGGATTTGTGTGTAAAGTTTTGAAAAAAAAGAGGCAAAGTTTTGAATGTGTAAACAGTTGAAAAAAACTGTAATTCCTTGTTCACTGATCTGATCCTGTATATGAAAGTAATATCACATTCACACAATCGTGCTGTTGGTCTGAATATCAGCACAGCTGAACCTGTGGAGCTTATTCACTTGTAGACTACAGTGTCCCGGGCACCAATATTTATCATTCAGAAAAGATGAATCACTCTGACAGGCTACACAAGTGGATACAGCCAAATCACAGCCTGGCTGATTTCTGGAACAACAGCACGATTGTTCATGTGATATTGCTTCGATGAACTTGCTCAGACAAGTTACAAAATAGCAGATTGGATGCATGAGGAGTTACAAGTGCGCAAGAAGAGGGGGATGTATACATATTCTTTTGATAGATGTCAGGCATGACATTGGGGTGCCGGTTCTCCTCTCTCACTCTCATGGACCTGTCCACTGGAAAGAAAGAAAAAAAATGACAGAAGCAGAGCAGAAAGAATGCTCTTGAAGGAAGCAGATGCTCACTGGGGAACAAAACAGAAAAAGGGAGAGAGGAGACAAGCTTTGTGCTTGAAATACAAAAGCAGGAGATAAGAGAGAGAAAGAATGTGAAGTGTTCAGAAAAGAAATTACACCGATATCTAATTTAAGATTGACTGGCTGCTGTGAGAGAACCTGAATGCACAGGTTATGTGCCTCAGATATGGAGTGAATTGGATTGTTCAATACATTGTTACATACTGTACAGTGGGGTTCGAAAGTCTGAGACCACATCTGGGATTTAAAATCGAATTTAAACCTAATTTAAAAGATTTATGAATTTGAATAGTTGAAAGAAGCATTAATGACATAAAACTAATTTGAGATTCTGTTCTACTAAGCAAATAAGCATATCTGTGAACTCTTTTGTTTAGACAGTTAAACCTTTTTTTTTTAATCTTTAGATCATCTCAAATCATGCCGGAGAACATGATCATCAGGTCTGATGCAAACTTGTGGAGTTCCTGCAGCTTGAGTGTTTATGTCATAAAAGCAAAATTACAATAACATACTAAGACATTACAATATAAATGTGAATTTTACAGTTAACTTAACATGCTTTTGTGGTTTTGGTTTTTCCTAATGTTGTAATATTGCCTTATGTTACCCAATTCCCCTTTTTGGGATTTTTTTATGCGTGTTAAATGTTAGTTTTTTTTTTCCTAGTAATAACCTTCATTGCATGTATCCAAATAATACAAATAAATTAATATCCTAATATTTCATGAGATTGCTGAGTATTGTGTTTTTCAGTTACTTTTGCTTGAACGTGATGCTAAGCTGAAATCAGAAATAGCCTAGAGCTCCAACCAACATATTTGCAGCATCGTTGTACCACAAAAAACAAGCCTTGCAAAGCTGTACTGTCTCTATCTTCACACAGTCTAAAGACTGGAGAGGCTTGTGTACTTAGAAGCTGTTAAATGGTCCTAGGAACATAGGTGTAAAGTATTGGAGTAAATGTAATTAGTTACTGTTGTCTGTTTGCCAGTCATTCTGTTCTTTGTTCCCTTTGGTTTTTGCCTTATTGTTTGTTCTAGTTTTTTCATGAAATACCAGCACATAGATCCTTGCCTCAGCTCCTCAGCTGTTTTCCGCAGCTTCTTCACAACGTTACAGTTTTTCACTGGCATGTCTCTTTGACTACTGCATAAAAGACTTAAGTACTGTTAAAATCAGATACTCTAAGACTTTTACTCAAGTTGTTTTGGAATTGGTATGGTTTTTAGGTACTCTTTACACCTCTGCCTAGGCATTCCATTCATCTCTGAGGCGCTTTCATTAGCCTCACAGTTATTGTCCATTTTTTGACAGTTACTCTAAAAACGAAACTAATTCCCTCTTCCATCTCAAACTCTATGGTAAAACTGCAGCAACTAGTCAAAAATAGCATAAAGGTTACTCTGAAGATTACGTTTCACAGATGCCTTTCAAAAGAAATAATTAGAAAACAACTGAATGCATTAACTCTTCAAAACAGAGTCATATAATAAGAGACTACTATCTGGTTTTAAGCCATCATTGTACAGCAATAATATTCAACATCGGGATACTTTATGCATGTATGATTTTATGGTACTGAGTGATAATTATGGAATAGTTATTATCCATTCATTACCTGTTAACCCCTTTTTGAGCATATACCTGAAAATTAATTTTCCAACTGTCGTAAATATTCAATGCTTTGGAGCACAGACTTAAGTTTGGTGCCTTTGTAAAGAAGACACTTGGCTGATTATGTGAAGTTAAAAAAGTTTAAAAAGTGAAACTGAAAAAAAAAAAAGCTATAGAAGTTAGCAATTGCCATAGACTGTAAAAATATATAGGAAAATAGGACTATATAGGAAAGTGAAGCCAAAACATCCCAGTATGGCTGTTGTCATCTTGCGCCGATGACGTCATTTGGAGCCCGAGTCTGCAGTAGTGATTGAACTTATTAAAAACAAAAAACACTTGAACATACATCAGTGTGATCAGAACTACCTAAAGTGACAGAAACCATATCTGGGAAAAACTTATGTTTATGACCAATACTGCAGCCAGCCACCAGATGGTGATCAAATTATTTTGGCTTCAGTTTTCAGGACTTGGCAAACTTGGCAAGTGCCAAAACCCTTACTAAGTTTCGTACTATTCCGATGAAAGAAAAATAAAGTTTTTCGGACAAAAATGACCAAACAGCACATTTTCCAAAGGTGTTGTGCTTACATTATTTAGACGATTTACATATTTGTCCCAGGTCTTGGGTTCAAAACTTGACTCACAACATCATTATGTAACTCGCGTTACTTGTAATGCATTACCCCCAACACTGCTCATAACCCAATAACCCCAGCCTTAGACACAAATAAAAATTATACAAAAAATACTAAATACTAAAAATTCATGGTAGCACTTTAGTTTAGGGACCAATTCTCATTATTAACTTGCTTATTAGCATGCATATAGCATATTTTTTGTTTATTAGTAGCAGCCTTTACTTAAAAAGCACATATTAATGCCTTATTCTGCATGACCATATTTTAGACCCCTTAATCCACCCCGTACCTACACTTATCAACTACCTTACTAACTATTAATAAGCAGCAAATTAGGAGTTTATTGAAGCAGAAGTCATGGTTAATAGTGAGAATTGGTCCCCAAACTAAAGTGTGACCACCATATTCGCATAACCATGCATTTTTTACATGAATGTAAAACTTTCGGTATCATTAACTAAAACTTAATTTAAAACTATCAAAAATCATCGGTTAAACAAAATAAAACTGAAATAAAAATATAAATATATTAAAAACTTGAACTCAAAGTACATGAAAATTACAACTGTAGCCTTGCCAACTACAGTTCTGTTTATAAGATCACATAACCCTTGCAGAATATGCAAAATGTTAATAATTTTAACAAAAGAACATTCGTGAAAATTGTAATAACTGAATTTATAAAAAATTACCCCGTTCATAAGTTTACATTACTATAGGATCTTCAATAACATACTTTAAAAAATACATATATACATACATATATATATAACTACTAAAAATGGCAAAAGCACATAAAATGAGAAATTAATTTACATTTCAAATAAAAAGCCAATATAAAATAATAAATACTAAAATACTATATAAATATTACTGGTCACAGGAAAATTGCTATTTTTTTATTTCCACTCTGGAAAATGTTTAGAAGGATCTAGTAATAAAAGTTTTTCATATTTGAAGATGTCTTGCACACCTTCATCATGTCAAGTAATCACTTGACGTCTTTCATGAAAGAACACTACCATTTCACAATCTGAAAACTTGTTCTCATCCTTTAAAAGGAGAACTGAAAAAGGGAAGCACAAGCAAGACATTTTTGACAATGTCATGTATTTATTGAATGTACAGTTATATTATTTATTGAGGCAATAAAAATTACACCCAGAGTAATAATTTTCCCTTTAAACAAGGCAGACCAGTACACTATCTACATACAGTGTTAACAAAAGAGTGTTTCAGTAGGAAGGTGATAAAGAGACACATGCAGAGAGAGAGAGAGAGAAACTGAACTCACAAAACTGAGAGATATGTACTTGGTTAAAGCTGTAACTGAGGCCGAGCAGAAGTTAGCCCTTAGGTAAGCATGTTTTGTCCCTTAAAGTCTGACTGCAGTCTTCACTGATTTCAGTACACACACCAGCATCACTCACTTTGGCCCACATGTGTGATGGACCAGCCTGGCTTGTCCCCTGAGGATGTCCGATTATAGACTGAAATGAGCTAATGTCTTGCTTCAAAAAAAAAAAAAAACCGTATCAACAACAAACTCAATTTACAGAACATGCTTTGCAGAAGCATTAATAAAAGGTGCTAAAATCAAAACACAATACAAAATCAGAACCTGAACCTGAATTTTGTCCCATTTTAAGACACTAAAAAGTGGGTTTCTAAATCACATCATTTCAAAAAAGGAAATGGTGTTTTTCTTTTAATGATAAAACAGTGCCATTCTATACACACACAAGAGAACCATAATGTGATATTACATAGGCACAATATAGAACCATGCCACTGTCAAGAACAAGACAATCATAAAGTGTCAAGAAAAAAAATAAAATTACAGGCAATAAAGCATTTGGTGTTACTCCCAAAAAACAAAACAAACAAAAAAACACCTGCTCTGCATTTTAACCAAGAAATAAAATGCCAGACAGGCAGCAGAAGACGGTGCTTAGGATGACTGTATAGTGTGTGTGTGTGTGTGTTGTTGGGACACTAAACCAGCCTAAGACGCAAACAAAAAGACAGACGTCACCCTCAACTTCTCCTCTAGTCAGTAGTTGAATTAATTACGTAAATCGATATAAACACATGTGGTTTCGACTGAAATACACATGAATATTTCCTGGTAGTATGTACAACACTAATATCCCTCTCCAAAGATAATGAGACATGGAGAGAGGAAATGTTGACATGCAAGTACCGTTTATCCCTGTTCATATGGGTATATAAAGCTATCAACTTAACATATGAACACATTATATGGGCTGAGTCATATAAACTCACGCAAACCATTAACGCTCACTTCTCATAACAAAAGATCTCACTTCAGCCCTTTTGCCTTCTGGCTTTCTAAACTCTACTGTGCAGTGTCCATTCTCACAGCCAGCGCTTACCTCACACATACATACATACAAATACACACTTTGTAAATCACACTAGGAAATATTATCATCCAAGCATGGAGAAGAACTGTCATGTCCATGATGCATATTAGGTTACTCGCTCAGCAAATGTAATTGTTTGATAATCATAAGTGCTGTAATCATTGTCTTTCTCAAAGTGCTTCCATCAAGATCATAAAGCACCAAGCACACCAATGTGAATGATGCTCGCTCAACGCCAACTGCCTTAATAATATTGAGCCACAGAGCCCTGAGAGACACAAAGAGAATGAAAAAAAAGTTGGGGATAAGACACACTTGGACAGAACCAAAAAACTGACCAAATATATTAAAGTAAAAAGGAAGTGTGTGTGTGTGTGTGTGTGTGTGTATACTGTAATCTGGTTACAGCAACCAGATTACAGTACGAGAAAGCAAAATCCAACCATCATACATTCTAATGGATTAAAAAAGCCCTGGATTGTGGTGATCAGAGCTAAGCTGTAAAAGTCTTGCTTCAATCTCACATTAAAAACTCATTTTATATGCTCTGCTTTTTTGCATATTACGCAACATGATTCTGAATAGACCTTGATAAACCAGACATGGGATTTGTGTGCAGCGTTCCTGAGACGGGATGTGACGTGAAACTGCAGCGAGAACGCGGGTAGATTCAGCAGGGTTTGGCCAAAAATAAAATGGTGGTGCATGAAGTTTCCTAGACATCACTGGATTTCAGACAGTGTGAGATGCGGGATCACTGCCAATTACACAGATTCTGGATTAGATTAGATTAAGCCATTCGACAGAGAGACAGATACGGGGGAGGTACGGGAAAGACAGCGAGTGGGATTATGGGATTTTAGAAAGCATTAACTGGGTGAGAGAGTTCAAGCGAAGTACATGTAAATGTGAGGCACTTAAACATTTAAGTGTCTTCGGACATAAACAAACACAATATACACTTTTAAGAAAAAAATGTGCAGAAATTGTATCTTTACACCTATAGCAGCTTGCCACTGGGACAGTCCCCTTAAATGAACAACTTGGTACCTTATTAAGCCCTTAAAGTTATTACTTTAAGGGTACATATTACTACTCTGAAGTATTAATATGCACCTTTTAGGGGTAGATAGGTACAAAGTTGTCCCTTAAGGGTACTGCCAAAGTGGCAAGCGGTGAAATTTTTGCACATTTTTCAGATAGCATGCTCGGGACCCGATCAACATTCACAAGACAGGATGTTTCGTCGCTGTGAAATGAATTGTGTTGGGGGGTGTATAAGCAACAGTCCATCTGGGCATTATTTTATAAACACGTACCTTTTAGACTAAGCATGAGCCTAGCGCTAGCATCACGGCATCAGATTACTGCCAAATTTACACTGCCTCCTTCAGGACAACTCGCTGCACTACACATAAAGCACAATATACATCAGAAATAAATAGAAAACCCCATCCCTCTGGTTTCCACAGGCATCTTACGTACAGGTGGTAGTATGTACAAGAGACCACATTATTAAAGCTAAATAAAATCCACTGTGTTATGGATTAAAACGACATCAGGCTTGATTCAGACAGACAGTGGTAAAGTGTATGCAAAAAAAATTAAAAATAAAAAACCCCTTCCTCTAAAAATGCATACACCTTTTAGCAATACTATATCTACTCTTAAAATCCGTTGCGGACAGAAATAGATTGGAGAGAGAGATAAGAAAAACAAAACAAATGGTAGTATCACTAGTACACTCCTGTAGTATCTGTCTCTGACTTGACAGGAGTGTTTGAGGTGGAGGAGGGGTCCAGCAGTGAGGGCGAGATATTGCCCATGCTGCTCCAGCTGTGGTTGGGGGAGGAATAAGGGGGCGTGCTGCAGTTAGAGGGGGGGCCGGAGCTGGGGCTGTCATTGGCCTGATCCATCAGAGTGTCTTTACGAGAGCCTTTGCTCTCGAGCTCCTGCAGGTACTGTGAGATCTCCTCTGGCAATAGCTTCAGCTCTGCCTCGCAGTCGCGTGTCAGACGGGCCTGATCCTACAGAGACAGGATGATTCAGAGTGCCATTCAACATTTGAAGTGAGGAGAAAAAAAAATGATCCAAGCTCACAAATATTATATCGCCTGTAACTACAGTATTTTGTCAGAAAATATAGTTATTGTGGTACTGGTACATTTCTGTAAGGGATACTTTTTAAATGTTGCCTTAAATAGGAGGAATTGAGCAGTAAAAGAAAATAATGTGACAATGATTTGGGACTAGCATGTCAGGAATGAAGGTGGAATAAATCTGTGTATGGACTGACCATTGGAACCTCCTCCTCTATTTTCTGAAGGATGTCCTTGTGAAGGGCTTTTAACTTCTCTTGACGCTTCCCTTGAGACACTTCCAGCTACACAAAGAGAGACAAAGAATTAAGGAAATTTATGAGGAAGACTGACCTTGTTTATTTGAACTTTTGTTTGGTATGGCTCAGAAAAACTTTGTCCTAACAAGGTGTGGGACAATAGTGATGAGTTTGTGTCCAAAAGTGACGAGACATTCTGTCGAGTGCTTGTCTACTAGACAGCTTTGTGGAGTAGGACCACTCAGATTTTACTGTGGGCAGAGCTACCCAGCACTGAAACACAAATAGAAACATCTGATATCTTCTGATTGGCTATGATTTTGTTGTCGTTACACACCAAGCTGATGATTGGCGATCGGAAAATGTTGTGCAGCATTAAGTGTCTGTCGCTGTAGTTTTTGTGCTGTGTCCCTGTCCCACAACGCTGGCAACTAGTTAGACCCACCTGGGTGGCTTTTCGAGCAATTGAGTATTTTGACTCCGTCAATCGGGTGCGTTTCCCAAAAGCAACTATGGTCGCAAGTTCAGTCGTTACCAATAGAGTTCAATGGAAATAACAACCATAACGAGAAGCAGAAATCGTGATCACGATTAAAATGCGTTTCATCGTACAGCACTATCTGAACCGACCAACACTGAACTGACTTGAGCTAAATAATGACAATATTGTCTTTTATAGCTGCTTTACATCAGAATCTGCACCGTCTCTACAGTTGAGTTTTCATAACCAATTCTGCTATTTTCCTGTTCATCACTGTGAAGCTGCTTTTACATCATTTGTATTGTATGAAGTGCTGTAGAAAATATACTTGAACTTTACTTAAGTATACTTAATAAAATAAACTTGAAGTATACTACTTTTTGGTAAGGGATGCCAATTGAAGCAATGCATGTTTGTGTAATTTCAGTGCTTAGTGGTGTGCCGTGGGATTTTTTTACTTATTAAAACTGTGCCTTGGCTAAAAAAAGGTTGGGAAACACTGACTTAAGAAAAGCAACTTCTCAGTGACAGTTTCAGCGTCCTGACAGTTTTAGCACACGAGAAATGGTGTCACTTAGATCATCCCTGTTAAAGAACCGCTGCACAAATTATTAAAGGTAATGCTAAAATTACAAAATAAATCTAGACAAACTAGTTGACTGAGGACTATCCTGGGGTGCGTTTCCCAAAAGCAACTATGGTCGCAAGTTCAGTCGTTACCAATAGAGTTCAATGGAAATAACAACCATAACGAGAAGCAGAAATCGTGATCACGATTAAAATGCGTTTCATCGTACAGCACTATCTGAACCGACCAACACTGAACTGACTTGAGCTAAATAATGACAATATTGTCTTTTATAGCTGCTTTACATCAGAATCTGCACCGTCTCTACAGTTGAGTTTTCATAACCAATTCTGCTATTTTCCTGTTCATCACTGTGAAGCTGCTTTTACATCATTTGTATTGTATGAAGTGCTGTAGAAAAAAGTTAATTTGACAAACAAATGACAACATTAAGAAGCATGTGCTATTTTGTACACTTTGCATATCTGCAGTTGTAGTTCTTCTGACTACACTTTGACGAATACAGACTAGTGCCACCTACTGGTATGGAGAGTTATTTCCTCTAATGTAGGTACAGAACTTATGTGGCTTTTGGCTGTTGTCTCTGAGGTGCGTTTATGCATAACTTTTGGGCCCAGACACAGGTGACACTACACTAGGGTACTAAGAAGTGCTGTTTATGCTGTTTATATATTTATGCTTGAAAACAAGCAACACATTTGTTACTGTAGAGCAGGGGTGTCAAACTCAATTCCTGGAGGGCCAGAGCCCTGCAGAGTTTAGATTCAACCCTAATTAAACACACCTGATCCAACTAATCAAGTCCTTCAGGCTTATTTGAAAACGACATAGTATATGTGTTGCAGCAGGGTTGGAACAAAACTCTGCAGGGCTCTGGCCCTCGGAACTGAGTTTGACACCCCTGCTGCAGAATTTTTAATTCAGTTATCTTTTTAGGCTGCTTATTAGTAACATGGTATCGATAAAAAAAATAAAAAAAAGATTCTAGTATTGTACTGAAATTGTGGTATGGAGCCAACCCTACACTTTCGTCACCGCTAGTACTTAGATGTGGGTTCAGTGTGTCATGGCCTTTATGTGCTCAGTACAGACAACTGTTAAAAAAACTCACAATGGAAACAATGAGTGGCACCTAACTAGGACAAGGTGTAAAGCCTTAAGATTGTATAAAAAGATACATTTACACAAAAATCCAAATGACACTAAATTCATAAACTTTTCCACAACTCTACTCACCTGACTGATTAAGTTGACCGAATCACTGATATGTTTTCTATTGATCTCATTCAGCTCCCTGCTGAGTGAGAGAATGACAGAAGGTTACGTTCCTTGTACATTACCATCGAGGTGCTGAGAGCAATGCTGACCTCTCCAGTGGCTCCAGTGATGTTAATAGCTTTATAAGCCTCAGCAGCACATTCATAAATGGTCTAATTTCTCTCTATGATTACCCTTACATTTTACCTGACACGGTTTCAATAATAGGACAATGAGAAATATGGCTGCTTTTAAAGACATCTCTAGGCATATTAGAACATCTCTGATTAAGATATAGGTCAGATTGTCTTTAAAAAAATTCAGAAAAAACATTAGGGCACATAACTGTATTTATCCATATAATGAAAGTCAGTGGGGTCCAAAACAACAGTGAGTCATGAGGGCGAGGATGATGATGACAGAATTTTCATTTTTAGGTGAACTATCCCTTTAAGGCAGATAATGTCCATTCTTTACAATCCATTCACAGGTCACTAATATTTCTATCGCATTTATCATTCATTTATCATGGTATCATAAATCCTTTGTGCTGCTGAGACAAGCCACTTAAAGGTATAATTTGCCCAAAAATGAAAATTCATTAATCATTTACTCACCCTCATGTTGTTTCAAACCTGTAACACTTACTTTCTTCTGTAAAACACAAATGAAAATAAGGTTTTTTATGTCCCTACAGTGGAAGTCAATGGTCACTAAAACTGCTTGTTACAAACATTCTTTAAAATATCTTCTGTGTTCTGCAGAAGAGAAAGTTTTACGGGTATGGAATGACAAGAGGGTGAGTGAATTATGACTGAATTTTCATTTTTGGGGGGAAACTAACCTTTTAACCCTAGACTTGTCACTGTCCTTGAGATGAGAAAAGCCATTACTCACGCCTCAGCCTTGTCCTTTTCTGCTTTCTTGGCCTCAATTATGCTGTTCAGCCTCTTCCTGTCCAGAATCCTCTGTAACTCTTTCTTCTCTCTGCAAGCAGAAATGTGACATTTTAACATTTGTCCACAAACACACAAATGCACCTCAAACACAAAGAAACAAAAAAAAATGTCTTACTTGTCACACACTTCCTTGAGTTTCTTGATCTGGGTTGCTTGGCATTCTAGGGCGATTTCCCTCAGTTTCTGATTGGCCTGACACAGAAGCACAGAGTCACAAAAGAATAAGCATTTTTAGCAGTGAGTGTGTGTGTGTGTATAGTGTCTTACAGACCAGCTGTGATCACTGTGTCTTTGGGATATTGTTGTGTGTCATACCTCTTTGAGGTGGAATTGTTTATCCTCTTTCTCTGTCTGATGTTGTGCCTGTCTAAGTGCAAGAAGCTTCAGCATGTGCTCCTCTCTGAACTGCTCCATCTGTTTCTGCAGCTCCAGATTCAGCACGTTCAATTCCCTCTGCACCGGCTCCTCTGACCCACTGCACACACACAAACACCAAACACACGCAAATGCCCATTTAAAGGGGTCATATGATGCGATTTCAAGTTTTCCTTTCTCTTTGGAGTGTTACAAGCTGTTCGTGAATAGATAAGATCCCTAAAGTTGCAAAGACTAAAGTCTCAAACCCAAAGAGATATTCTTTATAAACGTTAAGACTCGTCCACGCCCTCCTAAAACGCCTCGTTTAAACACACCCCCACATGTCTACGTCACTGTGTGGGAAGATTTGCATAACACCGCCCAAATGTTCACACAAAGAAAGGTGTAACTTTGATTCTCACTGTAGTATTGTTATCGCCATGTAGAACAGTTCAACCCAAATATTCAGATGTGTGCAACGCATTTTACAGAGGACGAAGACTGTTTCCTGTGGGAGTAGCCTACAACGCCAGTGTTCTGACAAATAATGCTGACTCACAGTCTGTAAGTACGTAAAAATAGACGCGTTTCAGAAAGGCGGGGCATAGAGGAGCAACAATAATGTACAGTATGTGGAAAATAATGTGTTTTTTGAAACTTAAACCACATAAACACATTTCATTACACCAAATACACAAAATAATGTTCTTTTTAGCAACATCATATGACCCCTTTAATAATAATAATAATAGTAATGAATGAATGAATCACAAAAAAATGATTCAAAGCGAACTGTTTCCAATGTTCTTTTAACCAAGAGCCAGCAACCTTTCCTGACATTGATGTCCCTCCCTGCTTTAAACAATGTAAAATATCCATCAGAGGGTCTGAGCTCATTCTCTTCCTTTATTCTCTGCTAAACACATGAGGACTGAACATTCATTTCAATTTGGCTGCTTTACCACTCTGAGCTCCTGACCTCTTGATCCTGACCATACTATGATCATAGTATGAATTACAGCAAACAGTTGGCACTCAAGCACAATATCCACCTGGCAAACATTAATTAAGGTCAAAAGGTCAGCGTTGACTCTAAATGTCCTCACTTTTTCTTCAGACTGGAACGCAGGCGCTTCTCCACCTGACTCCGTTTCCTCTGGAGGTCAGAGTTCAGCTGATTACAGCAAGTCCTTTGTTCCTTACTGAGAGCCCACATCTGAAACACACAAAAACACATTCTTTAAGTTATTGTTGAAAAGAGACAGCTGAACAGAAGAGAGGGGAATGGGATTGGGACTCGGCTAGCCCAAAGCATTGCTGCAGCTTTTGTCAGAGCGCTATAACTATTTAAGTTTGCCATCCTTTTGCCACAGTACTATTGCAGTCAACATCGCTGTGGCAAAAGAATGGCAAACTTAAATCGATTCTAATTGGCTAATGATGTTTCAAGGTGTTGATTCATTCTCGAAAACTGCATAGCTATAAAGTAATTCCAGGTCTTGTGTGTATTACCATTCCATATTCAGCAAATGATCAGACCTTCAAACAGCCATACAGCTACGAAATGCAACAACTGCAACAAATCCGAAAGACCAACTTGAAGATGTTGGGAAATCTGCATGGTGAAATAATTTGCCCCCATGCAAAATTCATAATTGCATGGATTCCTACAATAATGACTGAATTTTGCTTGCAAAATTTTGCCAAACGGTAAATATGTCTGCACTATCTGATTTGATCTATTTACCAGTAGCAAAACCTAACAAACTATTGCAAGACATGCTAGCTACATGTTCAAACATACTAGCAAAGCCTAGCAATGTGCAAAAACACCCTTTCTAGCCAGTCCTTCTCAACTTAACATCAAAGTTGGTCTGGACTGAACCTTTTTTTTAATCTAGTTAAAAATATATGCGCATATCTGGGTAAATGTGACCATGATGGTACATTCCCTACATAACACGTAACCGCAAGTGGTGTTGCAGTATAGAGTGCTTTTGACCTTTTTGAGATGTTTCTTTTTCAGCTCTTTGAGTTCCTTGCATTGCTTCTTCAACAGCTTCAGGTAGGAGTTGTGCTGTTTGAGCTCATCAGTGGACTGAGGTTCGATTACTGCAAAACACAAACAGACATACACCGTGTCCATGATCTACAACACCTCTCAAGCCCTTTGCAGGGGACGATTGACTGATGAAGACTGATGAAGATGAGCATACATGAGGGTGAGTGGATCTTACCTTTAAGAATATTGTTGACTAAATCTTCTTTTTGGCCTAAAATATATTACACACAAACATTCAGGTCACTTAATGAACATGACATGCATATTCATAAGCAGACATTGCGATTCACGGTTCAGTATGTATTGCTGTTTTGAGATCACTGTTTCGGTACGGTTCAGTTTGAAAGCGGGAGGATGGGGGTATTCTTAATGTCTAATTAGACATTTTCACAAGAATTTACTAATATTTGGTAACAGTTTGCCTTAAATGTAAAAACCTGTTTTGAATGACTAAATAAACATTTTCATGAAATAAACAGCTGTATGCTCTACATTGTGTGGCAAAAACATAAATGTTATACAGGTGTATCTCAATAAATTAGAATGTCGTGGGCCAAAATCATCACAATTAAAAGAACCAAAGACTTAACCTACTTCAGTCTGTGTGCATTGAATTTATTTAATACACGAGTTTCACAATTTGAGTTGAATTACTGAAATAAATGAACTTTTCCACGACATTCTAATTTATTGAGATGCACCTGTAAAGAGCGCCTTAAATATAATAAACAAGAACATAGTTTAAAAGCAGTAGGCCAGGGTAAATTCACAAATAAAGATAAATAAAATGCAAAAAAAAAAAAAAAGTGTCAACACTGATTTTTTTTCCTGTAAATGTAAGGGACTCTATATTATGATTTCATTACAGCTAATGTTCTTCATAGAAAAAAAAAATCAGGGTAAATTTAGAACTCCAAAAAGAAAAATATAAATATATTTTAAGTTTAGTCATCACTAGCTTGCTGATAAATCAAACTGACTTGTGAAATATAAACTATAAATAATTCTAGAGATCCAAACACTTCATAATATATTTGTTTATTCATATAACAACATGACAACTAAATTTAAATGTAGGGAATTCCCTATAAAAGCCATTTATAAAAGCTTATTAATTGTTGTCCACTTGTTAACAATGCTGCTGCTTCGAAGAAATAATCAAACGTCTTCTGCTATGCTTTGTTTCTGTAGTCGAGAGTGGCATGAAATGGTTTGGCTGTGAACTTGCAGAATGATGAATGGATGCAGTAACGTCACAGATGAACCATGCACTGTGCATTAGTGCAAGTTGTCACTCCAAATGTCTTCACCAAAACAGATCATCCATATGCTTTGTTAATCGTTGTTTATCACAGCACAAATGCATATGGTTGTTTTTTATTTGTTGTGTTATTTCTTATTTTTTTTTATTGTTTTTTTTTACAGAGAACCATTAGTAGTTCCTAGTAGACATCAGTAGAGAAATGAAACGACTGTAACATTATAGCCAAAACGCACACATGCACGGAGAGAGAATGATTGAGAGGAAGACAGCAGGAAAAAGTGACTGTTTCAGAGGTTAGACCAAACCTGATGCAGGAGGGTTCAGGACCTCGGTGAGCACAGAAGGAATTATTGGAGACGGCAGAGGGCAGATAGGGTCAATAGAGGTCACGAAGCCAGAGTCAAACTTGTCTCCTTCCTCCTGTTTCACAGGTCCACCCTGCAGACACACACACACACACACACTCACAGTATGTATTCACTGAATGGCTGAAATATCGGCAAGATGTTAGTTCATGTGGACATCTCACCCAAAACGAAAATTCATAATTTTCCCTCACCCTCATTTTATTCCAAAGCCATGTTCTTTCTTCCACGGAAGACAAAAGGAGAAACTTTGAATAATATATTTGACACTCTTCGTGTTGTTATAATAAATGGAAACTGGAGCTTTCAAGATTTCAAATGATTCAGTTATAAAATGAGTCAAAAGAATAATTTTCTTAGGAATAGGACTTCGCTATTTCTCTCATGAAGGAATACTTGGATGTCAGGATTTTCAGTGAACAACAAATTAAATTTCAGTCTGTTTCTCACACAAAAACAAAAGTTTGGAACAACAGAAAGGTGAGCAAATGAAGACTTTTTCATTTTAGAGTGGGTTGCAAGTTCAGGTGGGAGATCACTAAAGGGGATTGATTGGTTGCAGAAATTCAAATTTGACGACAGTCACTGTTACCAGAATTTTATATAGGCTACTGTCAGACATTTGCCAAATGGCACCCATCTAAGTCAATGCTGCCTCAAACACACATAAAAACAGGCATGACTGACCTCAGTGGGATCCTCCATAAGTGCTAATAGCTGCCTTTCTCTCTGGGCCAGCAGAGAGAGATGTTTGATGGGGTTTGTCAGAGCCTCTGCATACTCTACACATAAACAAGAGATAGACAGAGGGAAAACAGTAAGACTCAGCTAAAAAGGTTGACAATGAGTGGTAAAGAGAGGAAAGATCAGGGCTTATAAACGAAAGACTTTTGGTTTGAATCATACTCTGGGTGACCAATGAGCCATCTTTTTATTTTACTTTATTTTATTAAAATATATATACAAACATTTGCATTTGCACAGCCATATAGTCCACCAGCTGTTAATATTACGTCCATGTAGCAGATTACAAACTCATTGTCATGGCATTCATAGTCCCACAGATCTGTCTCCTTACCTTGGTGCTCATTGGGAATGTAGTCTTGTGCCTCAGTGTACACAAGCAGGGATGACAGCAAAAGCGGTTGGTTCAGCTCATTCTTCAGACAGATGTAGTGATATCCTAACACACACACACACACACACACACACACATATAGCAGATGTGAGTAGATATTCAGCACAGTATCAGACTAACAGGTCTGTTAGATCACTGCCACGTATTGGCACAAACCTGGGCGCAGTGCCGATACTGGCAAGATACGATGGCCAATAAACTTCCCATTTTCTTCATACACTGCTACTCGCAGAGATGCTAGGGTGGGCAACACCACCTAGAAAGACAGAAATGAACAGCATTTCATCTAATAAAAAAGTGCAGATTAGTACAGTATTAGCTCCACAGTTTTCTGCATGACAGAACTGCCATTTTAGGACAAACTACTCCCTTCTTTTGTTACCTTGTTGAACACAAAGGTTTCATCATCCCAGACTGGGTCCAGAGAGTTGTTGTTAGATGTTTTCGTTCGACATTTCCTTTTAGTGTCTGCAGGAAGTCCAAACATGTCCACCTCCACGTAAACACCAACCTTCTTATCGTTCAGAAACTGACCTGAGATGATCTGTGTATGCGAGGGAAAAGTGATAAATTATATGCCTGTACATATTACATTTAAAATTACACAGCAAAATAACTGACTATTACTATATCTTTAAACAGCACACTACACGTGCACAAAATACCTTGATTTTAATTGTGTTGGCTACGATGCCATCCACAATGCCCATAGTAAAGGGGTCAAAGTGTTTGTCCGTGCGTCTCATGAACTCCGGCTTGAGCAGATAACCACAGTGGCAGTTATATTCAAACACCCCCATGTTAAGTTGCATCGGCAAGTCTGAGACAGAGAAGAATTAAGCTTATTTTAAGATTTTAAGACTCCTAGAATATATACAAATGAAGAAAAACAACTAGACAGAAAGAAGAAGGCAATAACAGAGTGCTGTTTGCATATCTGACCGAGAGTTTGGAAGTTTAATGCCACCATTTGGCAACCCACGTTCCAGAAGAGCTGTGGCATATAGTTGCTAGAGTCCACACGCGTCCCTTTGGGGTAGATGCGACTCAGCTGCTTTTTATTGTATCTGAACACAGACATATTGCTCAGAAAGAACAACATTACTTAACATTAGCGCAAACATGTACACACCAAACATATATAACTAAAACTATTGCTGTGTCCTGATTCGTATATTATCCATCCTAAGTAGTATTCAAATTTAGAATAAAGAATGTTGAAATGAGTATCCCAAAGTTTCCTGGATGGTCTTCTATTTCTGGTGAAAATTCAGATCAGAACTACAAACACAAAAAAAAAACACTCCATGAGTGTGCATGGATCTGCACTTCAAATTTCCACCAGAAATATTAGTCCACCCGGTGAAAACTAAAACTAAAAACACTGCAGATGTGCAATACTGTACCTACAATATAGTAGGAAGAACTGTTGCACAGCACAAATAAATGAACTAAACTGTGGAGTGTACAGGTACATCTCAAAAAATTAGAATATCATGAAAAAGGTCAATATTTTTTGTCACTCATTTCAGAAAGTGAAACCCATATATAATATAGATTCATTACACATAGAGTGAAATATTTCAAGCCTTTATTTCTTGAAATTTTGATGATTACAGATACTGAAAACCCAAAATTCAGTGTCTCAGAAAATTAGAATATTACATAAGATCAATAAAAAAAGGATATTTTAAACAGAAATGTCAGACGTTTTCTGAGACACTGAATTTTGGGTTTTCATTATCTGTAAGCCATAACCATCACAATTTTAAGAAATAAAGGCTTGAAATATTTCACTCTATGTGTAATGAATCTATATAATATATGGGTTTCACTTTCTGAAATGAGTGACAAAAAATATTGACCTTTTTCATGATATTCTAATTTTTTGAGATGTACCTGTATATATGAGGACCTTAATGGGTTAGTTCACCCAAAATGAAAATTCTGTTATTTAGTTATTCACCCTCATTTCGTTTCAAACCCGTAAGACCTTCGTTCGTCTTCGGAACACAAATTAAGTTATTTTGTCGAGTAAAGTCATTTTTTTCTTCTTCTTTTGCACACAAAAAGTATTCTCGTAGCTTCGTATAATTGCGGATGAACCACTGATGTCACATGGATTATTTTACAGATCTCCTTCCTACGTTTCTGGACTTGGGAACATTTCAGTTGCGTTGCTGTCTATGCAGGGTCAGACAGCTCTCAGATTCCATCAAAAATATCTTAATTTGTGTTACAAAGATGAACGAAGGTATTACAGGTTTGAAACGACATGAGGGTGAACTATCCCTTTAACTGTGACAAGACGATTGACAAGCTAGTTTACAGTAACATGATGCACATAACTGTGCAAAAAGACACTAATATATATAAAAAAGATGTTATTATGACATTGTAGTATGTCCCAAAATGTGCCTGCTCCTCTGCTACACATTCAAAAGTATTTTTCTTCACAAAAAGTAGGTATATATGTAGGTAAACTGGGATACAGCACATTATAGCAGTCATTATCTGCTGACTGAGGCTGGGGAAGGATACTCAACAAACTCCATGGGAGAGTTCTTCAATGTGTCCATGCCTTTGGTCTCCACAAAAGATGACATCTCAAAATACTTATTCCTCTCTGAAAAGAGAGAGAGAGCGAGAGAGAGAGAGAGAGAGAGAGAGAGAGAAATCAATGTTAAATTCTGTATTCTAAGCTAAACGTGACTATCATGTCTAGACTAAGAAAAAATATTTTAAAAATGGACAGATGACTCTGTCCTGGCTTCTAATTGGTCAACACAGTATTGGTTTCAGCCATAGAATACACAGCATAGTAACGGCTATGATGTGAAAGTAGGGCTGGACGATACGGCCAAAATTTATATCACGGTATATTTCTTAATTTCGGTCGATACGATATAATTCCGATATCGATATGAACACTATTTATCTGAAATAAAAATCTTTTGTAACATTATAAATGCCTTTATCATCACTTTTGATCAATTTTAAGCATCCTTGCTAAATACAATTATTAATTTCTATAATTTCCTTCCCAAAAAATTTATAAAAATTATACTGAATGGAATAGTGTCTGCTTGTCTATTTCTCTTCAAAGCACCAACTTAAAATGCCTATTTTGGTTTGATTGCTTGTGTCACATGAGAAAATAAATAATTTTGCCTTACTGACGCAGTAGCCTATTTAATGCGGGTACGGAAATGTGTTTAAAAATCATATCACCGTTATTGAAAAAAATTATATCGCGTTACATATTGATATTGAATTATTGTCCAGCCCTATGTGAAAGGTATCATTACTCACTGGATGCCGCCTCAAAGGATTTGAATTTGACAGGTTCTATGTAGTTGACCAACGTAGACATCTCCTCTGTAGCGTTCACCTCACTGTATGCAGTACCCTGAAACAGAGCGATATGTCAAAGATGCGAATAGAAAGAGAGACAGAGACAGAGAGAAGAATAGTGAACAGGACAGAATGACAGTAGTTACCTCATCAGTGTTGTTGTGTTTCTTTGGATCTGGAATGGGTTCCTCTTCCTCCTCTTCATCACTCTCCCCATCTCCCTGGTCTAGAAATTAATATAAAAAAATAATACACACACAAAGACACAGAAAATTGAATATACACCATAAATGAATTGACCATGAGCATCCATACTGGTGCCTAAGTGACATCAGTCTTCATCCTGATTGGTTGAGACTTCATGTCAACTAGGCACAAACCCACCAATAGACTTGCGGATATCAAGATCTTTGGCCATCCTCTCTGCAAGCTTCTCGCCCCCATTGGACATGAGCTGGCCCACCTCCCCATCAGACAATGGACAATCTAAACACAAATCTCATAATGAATGGGTTTGAATGCAAAGTTGTAAATGTCATAATTTACAGCCAAGAAAAAAGTCAAACAGGTTTGGAACGACATGAAGAGGAGTAAACGATGACACTTGGTTCATGAGCTAACTCTCTAATCTTGCAGATATGAGAGAGATGTGCAATAAAATGGCCCATGAGAATTGAAAAGTTATTAACTAAAAATGATCTTTTATGCTTTGTCATAAAAGATCAGATGTGAAACGGTTGTTGAAGACTGTGTAATACTAGAAAAGACAAAAAAGTTCACAGTAAAGTGTCTTATTTTTTGTCATAACATCATGGGTTTGAGACTGAAAACATGGGTTTGAGACTCATTAAACAAATGGCTGATAGTTACACTTGTTGCTGGGACAAAGGCAGGACAATGCAACGATGCTGAATGCTGATGGATGAAACACTGACATGCACTCTAAGAGACCGTTCACAAAGATGATGTTTTTGCATTCCACTATACTACTTTTCACTTATTCAAGTTAAAACAAGTTTAACTTTTAAAGGGGTCATGACATGGATTTTTAAAAATGATTTCATTCTGTCCCTCTCTCAAATGAGCCACAAATGTTTGGTGTAGACAGGAGTCAGGCATTAAGCGACTGAACGTCAGTGGACGGGGTCAAAGGTGCGATGATGTAAAACTATTCGTTGACGTCCATGTCCATGTGATGTTACAAATCCCACAACACCTAAATGAGATATTTTTTAAAGCATGATTATATAAATAAAATAAATACATTTTGCACTGGAGAGGATTTTAATTTATGTCAAAAAATCAAAGAAAATTTGATTTCTCATGTAATGGCCCCATTTAAAAAATGCATCTCTAGACCTTGCAATTTTTTCATTTCACTGTCCTATGTCTCTCTTTTTATGGCCCCAATGTGTGATGAAACCCCATCTTGACACAAGCTGCTACAGTATACATACTTAAATTATTGTCGTAAATTGTTTTGTAATTGAACTGCCGACCATTTCAATCACAGTCACTTTTGTGCTAGAGTGGATCAGGCTGGGGTTTGGTGTGCGTACACACCATTCAAGGGTGAGGACTGTTCGTCTGTCCCGTCCTTGCGTCTGATGCTCCCACCGTTAGAGGCCCTGTGGTGATGTTTCTTCTTGTTCTTGATCAAGATCTTCCCCATGAGTTCCTGGGGGCTTGGCAGTTGCTGACCAGGATCCAGCTGTAAAAACAAGATTGCAAAACATAAAAATCTAATCTCAAACTAAAAATATATAAATGATTGCCAAATAACTGCATTCTGTGGTCAAACAGTTTTGTAATGACCAAAACTGTATGATTAACAGCTCTCCTAGATAGTCAATGTCCTACACAGCTGTTATATCACTACATTGGTCTCTTTCTTTTCACAATAATGCAATGATTTCAGGTCAAATGAACACTTTAATTTATTCTTTTATCTGTTAAGTAGCCATGTAATAAGTGGGAAACAAACTCTGTTTCAAGAGAAACAACAACTCTATTTCAAACTTTCTGTTTCACTCTGTTTTCGATACAAGACCCCTTCACTTTTACTGGGGCCCAGATTACCCTATGTTTATTCTGCGATAACGGCCAAATGACTGTACACCATCCTTAACTAAAGTAAAGTTTAGCATTACAAACTTTGATGTTGGCTTTAAAAGCTTGTATTGAAATTTTAAAATGATTTTAAAACCTTTTAAAGTTTTACGGTGACAGATAGACAAGACAGATAGATGGAGAGATAGATTTTGTTTTGAAAAAACAATTAGACTAAAATTTTGTTTTATCATTTTTGACAGTTGGAGTTTGATCAGCAGCCCTTTTTGGGAAGAACTCACTGGATATTTCTCCAGGGGTTCAATGAGCAGAGCGTCCCCGAACATAGTGCGACAATACTCTGCCATTTTAGCCTGCTGCTTTGCCCTAAAAGACCAGATAATAATCAAGATGAAAAATTTACAGCATAAAAAAAACAAACAAACAAACAAACAAACAAGAAATATGCATTATCCACACACTTATACTTACGAGTCTACATGATTTTCAAAGGACAGGATGAGAGGGTAGGGAGACGTCTTGAACGCACTTTCAGCGATGGCCTCAATTACTTCCTAAAAACGCGAAGATTGAAACATTTCACACACAATCTCTCATTGCAGTTCAGTGTGTGTGCAGTTTATGTGATCCGCTTGCATTTGAGAGCAAAGGTGCGGTCACATTAACAAAATTTTGCAGGCAAAAAAAGTTCCTTTGTCTGTTGTCCATAGTGTAGCGGTGTATGAAGCACAGCTCACCAGAAGTCACTTTCAAACCAAGCAGCTTTCTGTTGGTCAACATGGCAAATCCATGTGACCAACTTGAACCCGTTGAGAAATCTATATGGGGAAATCTTCTTCCCTTCTAGATCGCAAGGATTCCTACTGAAATTACTGTATTTCGCCCATGAAAATCTGCAGAACAATGGTAAATATGACCGCACCAAAAAGACACTGAGATGGGGCCATAAACACACCTTGAATGAAATCTCTGTTGTCATGGTAAAACCGTGCGTGATGATTGGCTCTTCCTCAGGTGGGCGGCCCTTCCAGCAGTCCAGCTCTATACAGCGGCATCCTGTCAGCAACACCTGCCTGTACATCTCCACTGATGACGTGCCCGTCAACTGACCCACTGAAGGGGGAAAGCACAGACAGGTTACGTGAGTCCGTTTATTACCATATTTGTGTCTATTATAGTGTGTAAGTGTACCTGTGAGGTATGTGTTGTGTGAAGAGTTGATGAAATAGTGGGACAGGGGTTGGTTCATATCATCGATGAGGTCCAACCTCTCAGGAGGAACCACAGAGTTCTCCTCCCCACCAAGATACTTTGCCAAGCCCATCAGGGAGATCTGATCTGCTCACACATGGGCATGTGAAACAAGCCACCATCAGTCTCATCGTCACCATGTCTAAGCGTATGTGTGAGAGTGTGCATTTGTACCTCTCTCCAGCTGGCTGGTGTTGGTCTCATATCTCTCCATGAGCTGGTGGACCTGATCTCGCTTGAGCGGTGGGTAAAGAACCTCATTTAGTCGAGAATCTCTCTGTTTGCGATTTATAAAGTCCATCAACTGATCCAGAGACAGGAAGGGCTTCCCTTTGGAGCCACTGCATACACACACAGTAAAGAATTAAACATGTCAAAAACACTTTGCACAGCATCTTTACATAGTTGTTAAGACAAAGTAACCCCAAAACATATTTGGACACACTTAAGAATGTATAAACATCATCAGAAAAAGTATTGGTAGCATTTAACTTTTCTGGACCATTTTCACATGGACATATTCAACTATTGCTATACATTTTTAAATTATTTTTGAATAGCATATATATTGTTTTGAAATGAACAAACCTAACAAACTTTTTTGTGAAATGGTTGCATGAAAAGTGTGCGTAGGCTATTTTTCATCAATATAAATGCTATTTGATTGATATATGAATAGCATTCATACATTTATAAATGTGGCCAAGTATCCAAATTTTGAGGGCTCTGTATCTGTCATTGCTGTTGGACTATGTTCACTCACAGCTCCACGAAGATACGCTCCACTTCTGGTCTGGGACTTAGTTTGTTGAGAAAGTTCTGGAACATTTCCCAGGTGAAGTAATCTGGTTTTATACCATCAGCCTGACGAACGAACGAATGAATGAATTAAAATGAAAATATGAATCCTTAACCTGCAATGTTTCCATGACAGCAATTTTATTCTTAAAACTAAAAGTCGAGGAACATTTTAATAACAATTTTTAGTGGATTTGGGTCTGCAGTGTATTTTAAAAGGGAATATTACCATGGAAAAAAAGGATTTATCTTGCCGTTTTGAAATAAATAAAGACTTTGATGTACTACAGGCAAATTTGTTCACAACGTTATGAAAATAAAATGCAGAAATGAGTCCTACAGCAAGATCCATATTTGCATGATACACAGGACAGTACCTAGTACAGCGCATGGCAATTAGGGGCATGCTGCAATCTGAAGTAAACGTTTGTTCTGCATATGTAGTGAGTTGTGCTTGTTTTTGTGGTTTCTGATATTCCACACCAGGGGTCAACATGGCTGAAGCTCAACCAGCAGGGGGCAGTGTAAGACAGTAAACAGAGTGTCATGTGGACATGTGCTGATCTAAGACCAGCTCCTCTGTGACCAAACTGAACCATAAAAGGACTGGTCGCAGATCACCATGGAGTGGCAAAGAAAAAAAAATTCTATGGAACATGTGACATGTGAAGACAAAGGGAGACGCAACAAGAGAAATCAAGTGTGGGTTAATTGAAAAACAAAGCATTTATATTGAAAGAACAAAAGAAAAGGACACAGAAACAAACATGTCTCATGGAAGCACAGCAGACAGTAAAGGATAAAACTGAATGGTTAAACGTTTAATAACTGGTGATTGGTGCACGACTGATTACCCTGTTATTGACCAGACCGCAGTGCTCCAGTGCCATCTCCACACGTTTCTTATCTGAGAACATTTTCAGGATGCTGAGAGAAGTGAAAGTGAAAGAAAAAGAAAAGAAGTGAAAGGAATTATGAAAGAAGAAGTGGCACATTAGCAATGAAAGCCCTGAAGAACTGGAAACATAGCTATGTTTGAGTAAGACAACTTGTTTACTCACGTCTTCACTGGGATTCTCCCATCCTGATTTACCTGCAGCTTCAGCTTGGTGTAACTATGAAAAATGACATGCACACACACACACACACACACACACACACACACACACACACACACACAAAAAGACTAAGAGTAAGAGGCAGATGACCGCATCATGTTGGTTTCGTTATCTTTCATTTTCACTCATTAGTCTACACTGATTATTTGCACTAATAAATCTAACACAATCTTAATGTGAATAACACTACAGACTCTTAGAACAACAATCACCTGACATCTGCACTGCCTCAGACTGAGGCAAAGACTATGACAATAAGGTGTATTTTATTTTGGTTGGTATGGAGCTGACCCAAAATCCTGCTTGGAAGTGAGGATTTAACATGGATAGTTCACCCAAAATTGAAAACGGTGTCACTTACAAACAATCATGTCTTTATGACTTTCTTTCTTCCATGACTGGGGACCTGAGCTTTCAATTTCATTTTGGGTGAATTAACACGACCATCAGTTACAAAACCAATGCTGAACCAAAAGTTATACATGAAAACTGGCTTGAAATTTTGAGGCTTGAGTTGAGAAGATTCAAGAGTCAAAGTTAAATTGTGAGATAATAGGTCACATAATAAAGCACAATTATGAGAAATAAAGCTGCAACAAGTCTTACTTTTAGACATGAGGTTGCAATTTCGATATATAAAGCCAAAAGTCACAGAGAAAAGGAAAGGCAGTAGCATTTGAAAGATATAAAGTAGCAACGAGATATAAACGTCACATTTCGAGATCTAGTCACAATTGTGAGAAATCAAGTTGCGTTGTGAGATGTCACATTTTCAAAAACATCAATTAAAAGAATTCATCACAAGCAACTGTGCGATATGAAGTTCAGTGAAGTGGACTGAGACATTTGTGTATTTTTGCAACACTAACATGTCACTTGGCCTTAAACAACGGTTTCAGACATACACACAAAGTACTCACGCTTTGAATAAGAAGGTGTTGCGGGAAGCATTCTGGGACAGTATGTTTGTGGCAAGTTTAAACAGCTCATCAGTCCACACCTGGAAACCCAATCATAACACCAAATGAACGTGCATAAATGAACTCATACATGTATTATGTAAATATGATAATCCCTATAAATCAATCAAACTTCACATGTGTTAAGTTTCTAAAGAGAGTCATCTAATATAGTTCAGTCAGAGTGCACACTTGCAAAGGTAGAAAGCGAAAAAGCAGGACGAATATAGAGGGAGGGACAGCATGGACATGTTATCTATGTTACGGGCCGGTCGTGGTGGTTACCTTGCAATAGCCCTCCTGCACAGCTTGGAAGTTGAGGAAGTAGAGGTTGACCAGGTCATTGCCGAAGACGATAGTTAGCAGCTTTGATTCGGAGTAGGAATCTCCTTTGATCAAACCCAACGTCTCACGTAAACGTAGGTCCTACAAACGCAGGCAAACCTTAACACCCACGTGTACTATTCTGACAGTATGAGCCTTTCCAAACATAACCTTCATACTGACTCTTTCCAACAGGCACACATAAAAGCGTACCTTTGGAAACCTGGCAAACCTCCCTGTCCTGGTGTCCCTGATTTGACTGATGTCCAGGATTTCCACTTCCTATAAGAAAAAAAAAAGAGATGAATACAAAAACATGAATAAATAAGAAATATTCTCGGTGGTTTTCAACCAGAGAACTGGGGCCCAATAGTGGGCCTCAAAATGACTTGGACAGAACAAGCATTAAATAAGCTAAACAATTAAAAAACAAGTATATAATTCACCCCCTCAATAAACAATCGTATTTGTTTTTATTTACTTGTCTAATCCTCTGTCATACTGCAGAACGAGTTATGCTACAAAGTTTAATGGTTCAAGTTAACCCCACTAATGAGCAATAGTAGGTTTGTCATTTACTTTCATTTCCTCATTAAAATTATTCAGTAAATCTGAATTAATGTCAGTGGAGACATGCATACATCCTACATTTCAAATCAAAAGTTTTGTGGTTTATTATCTCAAATCCAATGCCAAATATGCTATACTCTCTACAGTGTACTCATAAACATTGACATTGTCACATGGCAGACATTAAAAAAAAACGTACACTTTATTTCTCCTGGGAAAAATATTGATGACTCATTCTGAATGGCACAGATTTCTGTCCAATCAGATTATCTTGAAAGTGAGAATGCCCCTCCCCCCCGATACCACCTGTCACCAATTAGGAAGTAGTAAATCATGGCTCTTAAGCTGTGCTGTGCGTTTTTTTACAACTTACAGAAAGAGTATTTAATATGTCTTGTCTGTTTCAGGAAAATATATCAGCACGTAATAGAAAACTGTGCTCCTGAAGTGATTTCATGGGGTCTTTAAGAGTAATCGGGAATGGAATAACACTGAACAGAGGTTCAGAGAATCCCTGACACATCACACACACATACACACTGACAAAGTAAAGGATATTGTCACTGAAGTGGAGAAGCGATCATAAATCATGAGTGAACTTTAACTGTACGACAGATTCACTCAACACTTCAGGATTCACATCTCAGATAAACATCTCTTCTATAGAACTCTTCTAAGTTTAGATAAACTTCTGCTTCATGTGTTCTGGAAGGAGAGTCAAACAGGATCCCGGGCTCGTAAAGAGAATAGCTGAGTAAATGAGCTGGGGCAGTGGTTGGATGACTGTGCTTGTAAACTTCAACAATAAACAAAACAGATCTGGACTGTAAATACTTGCTCTATAGCCGAGGGCTCCCTCCCTTTCTCTCTCGTTCTTTATCATCTTTCGCTTTCCTGTACTCTTGTCCCCCTCCCACCATGGTGTGTGACAGTGCGGATGAAGCTGCTGAGTTGAACGTTCCCCAGAGTGTGCACGAGGTCATTGGTTACTGGTCGAAGTACGCTAAGGTCTGGTTCTGGTCCAAACAGGCCCAGTAGGATGGATCCACACACACACACAAACAAATAAACAAACACACTCTTGTATTTTCTCCCTGCAGCTATTGACTCATCATTACTGGCTCCCTGAAGCGATACTGGGACAATTTATTTATATTTTGATGATTCATTTTCAGATACTGGGAATTTTCTGAGCCAGAGATGTAACAGAATGTTCTTAAAATATTTATTTAATAATTTTTTTTTATTATATATATATATATATATATATATATATATATATATATATATATATATATATATATATATATATATATATATATATATATATATATATATATATATATATATATATATATATATATATATATATATATATATATAATTTTTTTAAATTAAAGAAATATTGTAATATATATAAAGAATAATAATCATTTTTCAAATCAATTAAAACACAATTAAGTTAAAGCTCATCCCAATTTATTTGATATATGGACATGAAAATAAAATAAAAGCTGGAAAGCTTTTAGCCTGCTTTTTCCCCTTATGTGGGTGTGATTGTGACTATAAACAGTGCTTGCATACCAAAACAAAATCCTAAAAAGGTTCACAATCATTAAACACCATGATATAAACAATGAACAAAACTGATCCAGAGACACACAAAGCTATATTTACCACAGTACAACTGTAATGTAACATTAATGATATCAACAGGTTGCATTCAACTAACCGCTAGAAGCTCAGACTTGTGAAACATCTTGAAAATTAAGCAAGCGTTTCTGAACAAGGGTGTATGCAATTGTCCAACCGTTTCTAGCATACATACATTCCCCTCATTCCTGGCGGGCAAAGACTGTTGACCTAAAGTTCAATATTTAGCCTTCAATGTCACTGTAGTGTTATTATGTCATTAAAAACATTCAAAAAGAGAAACACAATATATAAACTAAATAGACACAAGCGGTTCTTTTACTGGTGGTAGGGACTTCACGCCACATCAAACATACATTCTCTCTATTCATTACCCAGCATTCTTACAGGCACAGAGTAATTCCTCTTTTCAGTTTTGGGTTATGGCTTTTCACTACACTGCCATACAGCTGACTTTGAGCTTGACTTGTTAACTCACATCACCATGACAAAAGGTGACAGAATATCAGTTTATATAAACTACCCCCCAAAAAAATTACAAATGGACACCATGTTTACTAGTTGTCTGTCTACATGTGTACAAACCAGTGTTTTGAAATTGTGTTCAGTGTTCAATATTCTTGGAATACTTGATTCCAATTGGTCATTTGTGGCATTCAGCAATGAAATATTTCTGAATAATGACAGCTGCCCAGGGCAATGCAATGCTGTATAACTGACAGCTTATTTTGTATTGATGCTTTGGCTTTGTCTTTAAAACAACTGGGCCAATAAAGCACTTGAAACAGAATTGAATACTGGTTACAGTGGGTATAGAAATTAATCACCCTCCTTTAAAATAATCACATTTTGTTGCTTTGCAGCCTGAAATGAAAACTGATACAGTTTTTGTTTTATCCAGCTGTATTTACTCAGTGCAACTTATAACATCCAAGTGAAATACATAAAACCAACATATCAGAAAAAAATAAAAATAAAAAGACAGAATCACAGAGTTGGAAAAAGGATCACCCCCTTGTGTCAGTATTTTGTTGAACCACCTTTTGCTTTAATTACAGCCTTTAGTCTGTTGGGATATTTCTCTACTAACTTTGCACATCTAGACTTTGCAATATTTGCCCACTTTTCTTTACAGAACTGCTCAACTTCAATTCAATTTGATGGTGACCGTTTGTGGACTGCCATAGAGCGGGATAATACGCAGAGCGTCACACCAAGTGAAAGTGAATCCTGAGCGGAGAACTAATTTTCGGCAGCCGAAATTTCAGTGCATCTCTAATTATTGGCGACATTAGAAATGGATATTATATAATAGCTGCTTTTTTGAACATTTTAGCAATTTGAAAATATTAAAAAATGATTTTTTACACGGCACCCCTTCTCTCGACAGACGGTACCCCGGTTGGGAAACTCTGTTCTAAATAATGCCGCGGGTGGGGCTTGAGGAAGTGACGTCGCCTGCATCTGCGCAGTGCGACCTGATGCAGCCCGTGAACTGAGACACAAGGAAACAGAAATACTGCAAAATAATAATAATAACGCGACTAAACGAGACGAAATAACATTATAACATTTCGTTTCGTCTCGTTTTGGTCAACGAAAATGAAGAGACATTTTAGCATAGTTTTAATTTTGTAAACCACATGTAGTCTCGTTTTTATTCGTCAACAATATTGCATTATACATTTAATTATAGTCATCGTCACATGACCAGCATTTACGTTGCGTCTCGTTTTCGTCACGTGATAAAGGTTCGTTGACGACGATATTTAGTCATAATTTTCGTTGACGAAAGCAACACTAGGTTTAAGGCCACATCCACACGAAGCCAGAGCTTTCCTTATCCAATCTTTTTTTTTTCTTTTTCTCGCTCTAAAAAAAAAAATTCCATACATACGAAGCCATTGAAACCGACTTAGAAATGATGTAGTATTTATGCCAGACCAGTATGTGTCGCTATAATTCTGCCACAGAGATACATTAAAAATGGAGGAGAAGACTTCGAGCATGCGCATAAACCTTGCGCGCTGTATACAAATTTTTTTTATTTTTCTTTAGTAAAGCTAATAGGCTCAGTATCTTCTGCAGAACGAACACAAGCATATAGTCCGCTGTTGTTGTTACCTGAGTTACGTGACGTAGCGGTGTCTGACTAGGATCGAGAAGTGGGGTGATGACATCATCGTTTCACAAAATATACCGATTGGCTGTACACACGAAAACGCAAGGGTGTCATTTTCAGATTTATCCTCTCTGGAATCCGGTTTCAGGCTCCCAAAACGCTGGATCTGTCTGGACTAAACGCTGATACGATACAAATTTTTTACGTATACAGCTAAATGCGTCTCTGTGTTGACGGGGCCTAAGTCTGGGCTCTGACTAGGCCATGCAAGGACATTCACCTTTTTCTCCTTCAACCACTGTGTGCTCAGGTTTGCTGTGTGCTTTGGGTCATTGTCATGTTGGAAGGTAAACCTTCACTGCAGGAATGCTGTTATTTGGATGCTAAGCTGTACTGGATTTCCGCCAGACGTATGGTTTGGTGTTGAGACCAAATAATTCAATTTTAGTCTCATCTGCCTTAGAATCTTCAAGGTGCGTTTTGGCAAAGCTCAGTCTGACTGCATGTGCCTTTCTTGAGGAGTGGCTTTTTTCTTGCAACCCTCCCATACAAGCCACATTTGTGGAGAATTTGTGATATTGTTGTCACATGCACACAATGATCACTCTTTGTCATAAATTCCTGCAGCTGCTTCAGAGTTGCCGTAGGCCTCTTTGTAGTCTCTCTGGCCAGTTTCCTCCTGACTCTTTCATCCAGTTTGGAGCGACATCCTGATCCAGGGAGGGTCTGTGTACCAAATACCTTCCACTTCTTAATAATAGATTTCACTGTGCTTTTAGGCATTGATCGAGCCTTTGAATTTTCTAAAATATCCATCTCCTGACTTGTGCCTGTCCAGAATTTTATCCCGGAGATCTTTTGATGGGTGCCCATAGTTGATTGTTTGCTTCAGTTGCACTACCAAGGACTGAAATGCTCCAGGAAAGCTCTTTTCATG